GAGAGTGTACGTCATAATTCATCAAAGCAAATTACTACTGTTCAGCCAGTAATTAAAGGTCCTCATTAAGTGCTGCACCAACTCTCTCCACCTCTCCACCCTGAGTTAGCAATAAAAATGCACTCCGGGCATCAAGAGGTTATATCCCAAAATCAATAGCCTGCCATTTTATAATTAAAAGAGAAAATAAATGTTAGGGGAAAGTCCAGTAAATTAGGAAAATTACCTTTAGGAGAGATTGAAAATATTGATTTTAATTTACAAAATATGTGAACTTTGCATGCCCTGTTCCAAGAGACAATTGGAGGCTGCGCTGTGAGTTCTGCATAAGTTGCAGAAAATCGATAATTTTGCTATGGACAGATGATGGTATTTGTCATTAGCGCAAAGTTTCATCTACAGAAATGACTAATAAGTCCAGCTTTCCATCTGCAGCCCAGTCAGGGCTGGCTGGCTGAAGATCCAAAACAAACTGATGTTAAGGGTTGCACTTCAGCTCCGGGGCAAGCACCACCTTGTACAAGAAATCGAGACTCTACGTTTTCTCATTAGGGGTATTACAAATGAAAAAAGGTTTCGTTATTGATATTTAAATGGGTGACAATAGTAATTATGTCTGGATACAAAAAAGAATTTATTATATCTTGATTTTTTTTTTCAGATACTCATCCTGGAGCTACAAGTACCTGAAACGTTGTATCTAAACTACTTGCTTATTATTGTGTTTTCAAGTATTTCCAAGGAATTAATTATGAACAAGTCTGAATTTGCAACCACATTTTTTAATATTGTGAACTTGCCTGCCTACATATATACACACATAGGTGGAAGGAAAAGGAATCTGGTTATTTCGGATAATCCAGACATAATGAAACCAAATCCGGTGCTCTTCACTTGATTTTTGACTCACCAGGACACTATAGGACAAAGTAATCCCCCATAGGGTTTCCGAGGTGGTATATCTCTATGGAAATAGACTGTCTTCGCTTTCTCCTATGGAGAGACCCACAGGTTCGAAGCACAGACGTTAAGGCCAGCAGCACAATGCTAACCAAATATTTCAGTATGCTTTTAAAGAAGCTTAACGAAAACACAAATGCTCCAATCCCTCAAGAACTACTTATTCTCCCTTGCACGGTCTCTACATCTAAGTTATTAGAGGAGCTGCCAGAAGTAAAGCTTGGCTGTTGGACCTTCGTATGGAGCTCTCTGATAGGGTGGTCTTTAGGCTTCTGTACTGCTAACCCAAAGGCCATGCTTGTCTGGTGGTTCGAATCCACCAGTGGTTCCAAGGGAGAAAGACGGCCGATCTCCTCTGGTGTGATCTACAGCCTCAGAAACTCAATGGAGGGTCAGTTCTGAGTCAGTGCTGACTTGCTAGCAAGGAGTTCAGCGTTGAGGCTTCTTACCTCTTCTCCTGACACGGGCAGGAGACACATCAGAATGTGCGGGTAGTGGCTGTGGGTGAAGGAATTCATAACGACTTCTCTAACACGGCTCTCCTCTCAATGGCCACAGTCAACCTGCATTATTATACTACTCATTTAAAAAAACAAACAAAAAACAAAAACAAAAACACAGGGGAAAAAACCCCATAATCCAGAAAACCAAACATGGCCATTAAGCAGCTTCTGCCTCACAGCAACCCTTGAACCTCCGTTCTCTGGAAGAGCCCAGAGAGCCTCCACGGTTCTGTGTACAGAAGCAGACTGCCTCACTGTTCTCCTACAAAGCAGCAAGTGCCTCAAACCCTAGACCTTATGGCGAGCAGCCCAGTGCTTAGTCTACTGCACTACCAGTGCCCCTGGGAATACCCTAAGTTGGTGGGAAAGAGAACAGGCTCTGGAGAATTATATCCTGATTTCAAATCCTGGCCTGCCTCTTCAAAACCCCAATCAAGCACTGTACCTTGCAGTCCTCCCCAGGCACAGTGATCTCACAGGACAGGGCAGACTTCTCTCACAGGGTCTCCAAGGCTGTAATACTTTAGGGCAGCAAACTGCCACATCTTCGTCCTGTCAACTAACTGAATGCTTCTGTCCCTGAGTCACTAGGGCAGCTTCTTAACCAGCTGTGACATTTCGGGCCAATGGGCCAACTTCTTTGTGCCTTAGTTTCCTCACTGGGAAAATTGCTGGGAGGATCAAATGTGTGGATTTCTGCAAAATGCTTACCACAGCCTCTGGCTCACAGAAAGTAGACAGTAACTATTAACTCTTGTGATAACTAGTCTCTCCCTCCAACAAATAATGTAACTTTGGAGGCTGGGCACCAGGTGGTTATGACTAGCTAATCTGATGTTCTAAAATGCGCAGAAGAATTTTATTTTCTGGTGTATGAAGTTACTCTGAAGAGTCTCCTATTTTAGTCAGAGACAATTCCTTGTTGAAGTAAAGAAAGCATCTTGATTTAACGGCTCACATGGAATTGCACAAAATCATCTTTAACACCTACAGATGTGCACGTAGATTTGAAAATACAAGTAAAGGGGCTAACTGCTGTTATGGTTAAAGGGATTAAAGGCGACCACTGACTTTGTCATCACAATCAGAAAAAAACCCCCACTCTTCCTCTTTGCTGCAATGTATACATCTGTGTCCTCCATCCCCACAGATGACTTCTGGATGAGGACCCGAGCATTTTGGGGAGGCGACATGTCGAGGGTGGAGAATGGCATCTCGTGGCCACCAGGGTGGCTGGTGAGCACGTCCAGGGCTACTGCCCTCTTTCTAGTGCAGTCGGAGGACTTCTTTGCTTTGCAGCACTGGACAAGATTAGACTCAAGCAAATTCTGCAGAGTTCTCTATCAGACCAGAACAGACTATGTAGCTCTGCACCCCAGGAATTACCTCCCCCCTGCCATGTAGACATAAAATAGGTCTGATGCCACAGTGATAAAGCACTCAGCTTCTAACTGTCAGATCCATCAGCTGACCTGCTGGAGAGAAAGATGTGGCATCTGGCTTTGTGGCAGATTTGGAAATCCTATGGGGAGTTCTAGGGAGCTGCACTGCAGTCCCGAAGGCACGCGGTTTGAAACCACCAGTTGCTCCATGGAAGAACGATGGGCAGTCTCCTCCTGGGTGATTAACTGCCTCTGAAAATCTGCTGGAGGGTCAGCTATGGGTCAGTTCTCATTTGACCGCATACAACAAAAACAACAATGTGGGCCGTTCCACTCTGTCCTGAATGGTCTCTAGGAGTCAGACTCAACCTGATGGCAATGTTTTCTTTTTGTTTTTGTACAAATGTTGAACCTGGCATTTACTAAGAGGTAAAGAGTATTTCATCTTGTGAAATACAGAAATCATCTTGATTTAATAGCTCACTTAGACTGACACAGAATGAGCTATTCATTGTTTCCCCCTCTCCTCCTGCAAAAATAAAAAAGTCATATATAGATATATATCTTTTCCCTTACCAAGTATTTATACAGTGCTGAATATGCACCAAAACTTTTCTATTAACCCACTTGTAATGTGCAGCTAGTGAGCTAATTACTATTTTCCTGGCCATTTAAAAGATGACTGAACAGAGACACAGAGAGGTTAAGCAACCTTGGAAAAGTCACACAGCTGGGTAAGCGGGGAAGCCAGCATTCTAACTTAGGTTGGTAAGGGTAGGGGGAGGTTTATGCCCCTAACACTGCTAGCTGTCCTCTCCAGAGTGGAGTTCTATGATCCAAGAATGGAAAGGTCACTAGCTAAGTCTGCCTGACCTCACAAATGTCAACACAGCTTCTCCCTAAGTTAAAGGGTATCTGGATTTGAACTCAAGCTGATGGTAAACACACAAAGGAAGAACCATGGCACACACTGCCTGCCTAACATTTGAAACTAAGCTCTCTTATCTGCTAAACATCCTGATACTGACCCAGATTTCTCAGACTTTTCTTTTCCATCCAGTTAACTCAGTGGGCTAGAACAGCTGTCTTAGTTCCTGGGTTCCTGTCTCAGGTCCCCACTTAATAGCAGGGGAAAGAAATCCCAGGATGAAAAAGAGAAGGCAATCTTCAAAGGATCATTAAGTGAATGGACCTAGATCAAGTGGTCATTCATTTCTGCTTATTTAAAAGCAAGAGCCACGTCAAGGGAAGATCCCCCCCCCCCTTATCTGTGTGTTAGAATCCTGGAGAGGTAAATGCAGCCTATTGGTGGGCAAGGAGACAACTGGAAGGAAGAATGGTTCTGCTGAGCCAGTCAGACACGAGCTCGCAGCATCCGATATTCTCTTCATCTCCTGACCTCCAGTTCCTGGGACACGTGTCTGGAAAAGTTTTCACCTTGCCATCTGACCTGTGCACTATGGGATTCGTCAGCCCTCACAACCCTATGGGCCACTAGGTTGATCGTTCCTAAATTGTGATGATTAAGTTCTCTAGGAGAGTAGGTTTTCCCAACTGAGGGGAAGCTGAAGGGGCAGGAAGAGATGGGATGGGAGCAGACACACACCTTGGAGGGCAAAGAAGTGAGGTGGAATCACCAAGGGAAACCCATCAGTGAAGAGAGAAAGACAACATTGTTTTTAACCGCAGTTTGCTAAAGAGTCTTCCTCTTGGTAATTCCAACCTACGGCCATCTTTTTGGAATAATGAAGCCAACTCTCTGGATTTGCCAAAAAAAGAAATAAACAAACAACCCCCAGATGGAAATGAATGACCAAAAGACACAGTCAAGCAGACTGAAATAAAATGGGGTAGACAGCTCGACATTTGTTCAATATGCCATTGAACAAAGCTGGAATGCTTTCTTAAGGCAAAATCAATGGGAAATATCCACAGGGGCAGTGCTTCCGTGTCTGCCCACTCGATAACTTTCAGGATTTCCCTTTGTTGTCTGAAAAGGTTTTTAACACTCTTGGTTTTGCCCAAATAAACCATTCTGGACTTGTCAGGCCCGGGATTCACTCTGTTTGGAGTATCTGATGAGACCCCCTGTCTATGGGCAGGCAAAGCACATGTAGAAAGGCCAAGAAGATGTCGTGCACAGCAAACTCTTTACCTGCATAGAATTCGGGACTGTAGACGGCACCCACAACTGGATTCAATTTCCAGCCTTAAAAAAAATATACAAAAATGTTATCATCACATTTGATTCAACAACTGAGATCATTGCAAATTAACGGCCTATCAAATGGCTTGGCATATTTTTATTTTATTTTTTTTATTTTAAAATTTAGAGGAAACAAGAGTTTGGATACGTCTCATCTTTTTAACAACTATACATAGGAAATCATGGGGTTGGCTGTTCAGGACTCTCCTTGATTTTTCTTCTAATCCAATTTACAGAATCTCCTGGCCAACAATAGACGAATGTTTTTAAATTGTGGTATTAATTAATTTTATCAAATATCATTATTATCTAGATCCATTCTGACAACTTTTTTGTTCTCTTGCAAATATCATTTCTAGATAACCCATCACATGATCCTTCGTCCTGAGTTCACAAAAATGTGAAAGGTCACAAGTACAGAGATCTTTACAGGAACACCTTCCCACAATTATCCCATCATCCTTAATTATGATTTGAGATTATTTAAAATTCAATTCCAAAAGTAATTCTTTTTAATCCCAAAGCAAATAACATTTTATCTCTTAGAGATTTAGGGTGGAACATTCAGGGGCAGAAAAATCCTTAATGCATGTTAACAAAGGTAACGTTCAAATAACCTGTACCTAAGATGAACAGGATTATCTCATTTTTTAGCCCTTCTGGATAGAAAGTTTCCTGTGAAATGAATGTTGGCCCTTCAGAAATGCATATTTAAGTAACAGAACATACAAGGATACTTGAAAAGCAGGATCCTGCCCACATTACATCCATCAGGCATTACTGAGGTGATAAGTTTGGAAAACTGAGGATTTTATGATCATTTCTTATTCCAGTGAGATCTTTATGGAAATATTCCTTATAGAATTCCTAAGTAACCCAGGAGGTGAAAAGCCTTTGTCATACAGGTAAGCACCGGCAAGTTTTTAACTAATATCTGCTCCTGAGAGGTGGCCAACGGTGAAAGTGTGAGTGTGAGGGACAGTATTTCTGGCAGCAACTCTCTGGGCTCTTCTCAGAAGGCAGAGCTGCAATACCCTAAGATGCTAAGCTCTCTGTAAGAACAGCTGAACAATGCTCATAATCAGCTGCTACTAATCCACCGAAGAAAACAGACACAATATCTCAATTGACTGGCCATTAGATTGAGTTATCCAAGAACTTTCCAGAACTTTCTAGAACTTCGACAAAAAAACTTTGTTTTTAAAAACCTTTCAGTTTGAACTTGAACAAGCTAACCCGTTTATAGCTCTACAGGTGACCTTAGAATATGCTTTCTTAAATTATCCATGGGTCATTTGAAGAGACTTTTAAAGGCAAACTATATGTTATACTTAAATTTAAACTAATTAAACCATAAGATCTATTGTCCCAGCGGTTGCTAAAATTTAAATTCTGACAAATGTCTCTCTTATATTGGCCATACCTTGTCTGATATGAATTTTATGCTAATATCAAAATTACCCTGGATACTTAAAGATATGTTTCCTGAACTTGGACAATGACTTCAATTTGACCTCCTGAAATTTCAATGCTTTCTTAAAAAGGAACTATCCAACATAATAATGAATGCATATAATTCAAGGTACTTGAAGTCTAAGAGAAGAGTTGAATTTAAAGCTGCAAGGTTATCTGAAATACTTAATCACTCTTGTCTTTTTTAGGCTTCCTTACAGAAAACTAGTTTGAGACAGAAATCTGTATAGAGCCACATTAAAGAGATCATCAGTGAGCTCTGGTGGCTTAAAGGTAAAGAGCTGTGTTGCCAAACTCCCGGCATGTGGTTCAAATCCACCAATGGCGCTTTCTCAAAAAGTTGCAAATAGAGATACCATTTGACCCAGCAATTCCACTACTGGGAATACACCCTGAAGAGACCATAGCTGACATCCAAGC